CACTAGTGACACTGGGGAACTTAGCGCCTCCCGCTGACAGGTCTGAACAGCCTCTAAACACAGCACCTGCCTATCAAGGACTCACTCCCTACCACTGACATGCAGCCACTTCTGGGGTGGAACAGGGCAGCTGAGAGACCAGGCACAGAAACTCATGGGCTGTGTAGGAGAGGGAGTGAGGAAGAACCATGTCTCCAGTCACAGCTCTAGGAGATGTTAAAGGTTCAGGAGTAATTAGCTGAGATGGAAATTATCCCGAGTGACGGGGGGAGGAGCCCCACACTTCATAAAGGGATCCCAGGTTTCTACTGCCTCTGAGCGGCTGCAGGCTCCATTCGACCCCAAATCCCACAAATGGGATCTACGGGTACCCAGCGCCCCATTGTGCTGTAGTGGGGCAGGGGGATCAGAGCGATCAGTGACGGGGAGGGTCTCTCACTGAGGCGCACGTACTGCTCCCTGCAGCGCAGGCCCTAAGTGCTGTGCTGGGGCACTGGGATAGCACTGACTGCAAGGGCAGAGCGCCCCCCACTGAGCCCCCATCCCGCTCCCTGCAGCACAGGCCTGTAGAACTGTGTGGGGGAAATGCGGTCAGCACTGATACCATGGGAAGAGCGACACTTACTGTGGCCATACAACCGGCTCCCTGCAGTACAGGCCCTTAGCACCATGCTGGGCCACTGGGGTCAGCACTGATTCAGGCAGGCGAGCTGGGTCTGTGCTGAAAGCTTCCCAGCCCGATCCCTGCACCACCCACAGTGACATGATGGATGCAAGTTACCTGAGCACACGACACCGGCATCTTCTCCATGATGACAGTTATACTCTCCCCAAGGCCGAGCCCTGCATTGGGAGAGGGCAGCTTCTGTCCCTGTGCAGTGAACGTCATCCAGCCAGATGGGGTCAGATCCTTGTCCAAAGTGAGCCGCGCCTGGGGCTGATAACGCCGTCCCACAGCCCAGCTGCCTGCACACGACTGTGGCATCCTGTAGGTTCCAGTCATCAGCACACACGGTTCCCCACTGCTGGTTGTGAAGCACCTCGACTCTCCCAGCACAACGACTCGAGCCGTTCACCAGTCGGAGCTGAGTTACTTCTGAGATGCCAGAGTCTGCAAATACCCCAAGAGAATAAACACTCAGGGAGGTTCCTGTGCATCTGATCAGTAGTGATGCTGGGGAACGTAGCACCTCCCACTGACGGGTCTGAACAACCTCCACACACAGCTACCGCCTATCAGGGTCTCACTCCCCACCACTGATATGCAGCCACTGCTGGGGTGCAGCTGAGAAACAGGCAAGAGAAATCTGGCCCAGTCATTTAGGGAGGACAGGGGGAAGAATTCTGCATCCATTCACAATGGTGCCAAATGTTACAGGTTTATGGCTCATCAGCTAAGACACTAACTGGCCAGTGGGTTTAGGGGCCTGATGCTTGACAAAGTGACCCAGGGTCCCTACTCCTTGGGAATGGCTGCAGGCTCCATCTGACACTGAATCTGATCAACGGGATTCATAGATTCCCAAGGTCCAAAGTGCCCACTGTGACCAGCTAGTCTGACCTCCTGGGTAGCACAGGCCAGAGACCTGCCCCAGAGTAATTCCTAGGACAGACCTTTCAGACACATCCAATCCTGATTTAAAAATTGCCAGTGAGGGAGGATCCCCCACAGCCCTTGGAAAGATGTTCCAACAGTTAATAATCCTCATTGATACAAATTTGCACTTTATCCGTAATCTAAATTTGTCTCTCTTGAACTTCCAGCCATTGGATCTTATTAATCACTTGCCTGTAAGATTAAAGTGCCCTTTATTATCACATTTCTGTTCCTCATGATGGTAATTACAGACTGTGATCAAGTGACCCCTTCACCTTGTCTTTGTTAAACTCAACATATTGAGCTGCTTGGGTCTATCACCCCAAGGAAGGTTTCCTAATCATAAAAACACCACGATTGGAAGGGACCTCAGGAGGTCATCTAGTCCCACCCCTTACTCAAAGCAGGACCAATCCCCAATCAGATTTTTACTCCAGTTCCCTAAATAGCCCTCTCAAGAACTGAACTCACAACCTCTAAGTTTAGTAAGCCAATGCTCAAACCACTGAGCTATCCCTCCCCTCAATCAAATGATCCTTTGATCATTCTCATGGCTCTTCTCTGAACCGTCTTAAATTTATCAACATCTTTCCTGAATTGTGGGCACCAGAACTGGACACAAGATTCCAGCAGTGTTCGCACCAGCACCAACTACAGAGGTAAAATAACCTCTCTACAGCTACTCGAGATTCCCCTGTGTGCGCATCCCAGGATTGCATTAGCCATTTTGGTCACAGAGTCACACTGGGAGCTCCTGTTCAGCTGATTATCCACCCCCCACCCCCAAATCTCTCTCAGACTGTTTCCCAGGAGAGAGTCCCCCTCCTGGAAGTGCGGCCTGTGTTCTGTGTTCCTAGATGTATCATTGAGTTATCATGTACAATGTCAATTTTGCATCATTCTCGTGCAGTGCCAAGTAAAATGCCTTACAGGAATCTAGAGCAGTAGTGGGCAGACTATGGCCCGCAGGCAGGATCCGCCCCCTCAGGGCTTTGTATCCGGCCCGCGGGATTGCCACCCTCGTGGCGCCGTGGGCCCCGCACCGCTCCCAGAAGCGGCCGAGTGAGGGTAGGGGTCAGAGGGCTCCATGCGCAGCCCTCACCTGTGGATTCCACACTCAAAGCTCCCATTGGCCATGGTTCCCCGTTCCTGGGAGCAGTGCGGGCCCAGGGCAGGCAGGGAGCCTGCCTTAGTGGTGCCACACCGCTGCTACTCTGAAGCCGCTCCAGGTAAGCGGCGCCAGGCCAGAGCCCGCACTCCAAACCCCTCCCGCATCCTGCACCCCAACCCCCTGCGCTGAGCTCCCTGCTGCATCCCACACCCCACCTGCACCCCAACCCCCTCCACTGAGCCCCCTGCTGCATCCCACACCCCACCTGCACCCCAACCACCTCTCCTGACAAGCTTTGGTGCTCACACAGAGCTCTTCTTCAGGTCTGGGCTCGGTGTGGTTGGAAAGCTTGTCTCTCTCACCAACAGAAGTTGGTCCAATAAAAGACATTTCCTCACCCATCTTGTCTCTCTCGTATCCTGGGATCGACATGGCTGCAACTACACTGCATACAAAAATGGCAGATGTCTAAGCACATCAAGGCTATTCCCTCCCATCTCATCAGAATAAGACACCAAGTGAGTCTGACTCAAACTCACTGGTCACAGAGTGCCCACAGTGCTGTAGTTGGTGGGGGGGATCAGAGTGAGCAGAGGGGCTCTCACAGCGACATATACACCTCAGCCTGCAGCATGGTGCCCTAGCACCATGCTGGGGCATTGGGGTCAGCACTGACTCTGAGGGAGGGCAGCCCCCTCCTGTGGTCCCCAAACTGCTGCCTGCAGAAAGGCCCTTAGACATGACCTGGGGCCTTGTGGTTACACATAAATCTGCAGGGAGAGCAGCCAACGCTGAGCCCCAGCCCCATTCCCTGCAGCACAGCCTTTTGCATCAGGTGGTGCATTAGGGTCAGGACTCACTGTGAGAGGAGAGCACCTCAGTGAGTCCCCAAACTGCTTTTCACATGGGCATGACGAAGGAGGGTTACCTGAGCACACAACACCGGCATCTTCTCTGTGGTCACATTTATGGTCCCCCCAAGGGGGAGCCCTGCATTCGGAGAGGGCAGCTTCGGTCCCTGTGCAGTTAACATCATCCAGCCAAATTGGTCCAGATCCTTGTCCAAATCGACCCCCTCCTGGGGCTGATAACGCCGTCCCACAGCCTAGCTGTCTGCACACGACTCCAGCATCAGTTAAGTCCCAGCCATCATCACACACAGTTCCCCACTGATGGTGACGAAACACCTCGACTCTCCCAGCGCAGCGACTTGGGCTGTTCACCAGTCGCACCTCAGCCAGGTGTGGAAGGGCTGAATCTGCAAACACCCCAAGTGAGTAATCAGAGAGATTCCTGTGCATCTTATCCCTTCCACTGACAGGTCTAAACAGTCTCAGCACACAGTGACTGACCAACAAGGGCTCACTCCCCACCACAGACATGCTACTACCTCTGGGGTGGAACAGGGCAGCTGAGAGACAGGCTACAGAAAGCTGGCCCAGTAGTTTAGGCAGGAAATGGGGAAGAATTTGTCTTTCTCTGTTACTGCAGGTCTGAAACTTAGGCCTATGAGATTGCCCAACTAGAGCATAATGTGTCACTGCAGCCAATGGCCCACCAGCAGAGGCCACACCGGCTGACTCATCATAGTCAGGTAACTAGCAGCAGTCTGTTGAT